GTTTAAGTGGGGGAGAATGTAACGACCCGACTGGTCGTTTTGAGCTTTTGCACGTCGCTCGCCAGTTCTCGGGCATTTCTAGCCCCGTGTTATGTATTATTACTTATGTAAATCGTCGGTTTTAGCTTTCAGGTTAATCAGAATGAATTTTGAAGAACAGTTCTCAGTTTGAAGCTTAAAATTTGAAAGGTTTGACCAAGTTTTGACTTTTTAGTATTTGATCTCAGATTGGAATTCTTATGATTTGGTTAGCTCTATGAGGTTATTTGGGACTTAGGAGCGTGATCGAAATGTATTTTGGAGGTCCGTGGAAGGTTTAGGCTTGAATTGGTGAAATTGGGATTTTGGCGTTTTCCGTTGATAGGTGAGATTTTGATATATGGGTCGGAATGGAATTCCGGAAGTTGGAGTAGGTCCGTTGTGTCATTTGTGACATGTGTGCAAAATTTCAGGTCATTCGGACGAGGTTTGATAGACTTTTTGATCGAAAGCGAAATTTAGAAGTTTATGGAATTCTTAGGCTTGAATTTGATGCAAATTTGGTGTTTTAATATTGTTTTGAGTGTTTTGAAGGTTGGAACAAGATTGAATGAGGTTATGGGATATGTTGGCATGTTTGGTTGAGGTCCCGAGGGCCTCGAATGAATTTCGGGTGGTTAAACTGATCATTTCATGTTGATGGAAATTGCAGAAATACTGTTGTTGGTGTTGCAGGTTTTTGACCTTCGCGTTCGCGATGCATGTCCCGCGTTCGCAAAGGGTTAGGGTGTGAGGTTGTGGAGTTGGCCTTCACGTTTGCGAAGATGTACCCGCATTCGCGAAGGGCTGAGGTCAATGACCACCGCGTTCGTGAGGCTTATGCAGCGTTCGCGTAGGGGGAGAAGAATAGTTGGGTCCCCAAGGCAATTGTTCTACGCGTTCACGTAGTAGAGGTCGCATTCGCTAAGAGTTGAGTCAGTTGTGCATCGTGTTCACTAGAGGGTTCTCGTGTTCGCGTAGAAGGAATTCTGGTCAGTGAAGCTGTGTGCTTCGCGAACGCGAGGGAGCTGTCGCGTTCGCGATGAAGAAAAATCTGGGCAGACAGTTTATATTTTAAAAATGAGGGTTTAAGTCCAATATCACAAAAACCATTGGAGAGCTCGGGAGAAGGTGAAATTTGAGGAGATTTTCAGTAGAGCAATTGGGTTAAGTACTCTTCATTCATATTTGGTTTAATTCTATGATTTAGTCTTGAATTTCATCATTTAATTTGAGTAATTAGAGTGAAAATTAGGAAAAAATGGAAGAAAAGTTTAAGAATTCTTTTGGGGATTTGAATGGGCAATTAAGGTCGGATTTTGATGAATTTGATATGGGTAGACTCATGAGAGGATGAGGATTCTATTGAAGTGATTTTTATCGGATTTCGAGATGGGGGCTCGGGGGCCAGGTTTGAGCAATTTCGAGATTTTTTATGTAAATTGAATATTTTCGAGTGGGCTTTGTTTCCTTAGCATATTTTAATGGTTATGTACTGATTTTTGTTATATTTGGAGCATCCAGAGGTCGATTCGAGAGGGAAAAGGCATTGCGGGCTAGTGTTTGGACCGGATAGAGGTAAGTAATGATTGTAAATGTCTGTCCTGAGGGTATGAAACCCCGGACTTCACATCGTTATGCTATTATGAGGTGACGCGCACGCTAGATGATGAGCGTGGGATCGTGCACCGTTGGAGATTGTGACTTGTTCCGTCCCGTATGACTATTTAGTCGCGTATTTGACAGAAAAATATTTGATATCATTGTGTTTTGGAAATTATTATCATGTTGTGGGCTGAATGCCATATTTGGGCCTCGTGCCAATTGTTTTGGACCCTTAGGGGATTTTTACTACTATTCCTCACTGTTTTGACTTTATACTTGTACTTAGTCATGCTATATCCTACTGTTTTCATAACTCAGCCATGTTTACTCTGTTTTGACATCTTAAATGATATTTTGAACTGAGCATCATATTTTTACTGTGCCTGATTTGCTTTTAGAGATTTTCGACTGAGTAGGGCCGAGGGCCTGTGTTGTGAGGTTATTATGGGATCGGGCTGCACGTCGCAGCGGTATTGTATTGATTCATGATTATGAGGGCGAGGGCCGATTTATATGCCACAAAGTGGCTTGATATGAGGCAGAGTGCCTGTCTAATTATGCCATGAGATGACTTGATATTGCGTTTTGGCTGTAAGGGGGCCCTCCCGGAGTCTGTATACCCCCAGTGAGCGCGGGTACCCTGAGTGAGTGATATATTGATTATGCCACGAGATGACTTTTTATTGCGCTTGGTCCGTAAGGGGCCTCTCCCGGAGTCTGTACACCCCTCAGTGAGCGCGAGTACCTTGTATGAGATGTGATATAGTCCGAGGGGCTGATGTTGTTTCATGTTCTTGCCTGAGGGGCTAATTACGAGTGATTGTGAGGTAGCCCGAGGGGCTGGTTCTGTTGATATTATGTCTGAGGGGCGGTTTATGGTACATATTTTGCCCGAGAGACTGTTTATGTTTCCATCCTTTTTACTCATTGTTTTATCACTCATTTGAAACTATTGAAAGTTGTTTTAAAAAGATTTTACGGAAACTGAGCTTGATTTACGAAATAAATGATTTCTGTACTATTTTGGAAAGGTACTGCATTTGCTGTAGTGTTATGTTGTGTTTTACGTGTTTTCTTACTGCTCAGCTTTCATTTACCTTTATTACTTATTGAGTTGGAGTACTCACATTACTCTCTGCACCTTGTGTGCAGATTCAAGTATTTCTGAATCCGGTAGCGGGTGTTGATTGCTTAGAGGCAGAGTCATCGGAGTTTTTAGCAAGGCAGCTATTCGGCGTTCGCAGCCCAGCTTTTCTCCCTCTTGTTTTCATTAGACTGTATTTAGTACATTTTCAGACTTTTCGTCGTATTCACACCTTAGTAGATGCTCGTGACTTGTGACACCCCGATGTCGGGCTTGTATATTATTTTCGCACTGTTCATTTAGACTTATATTATGAAACATTTATTTAAATTAAAGGCTTAAACATGATTCTTATTGATAAATGGTTAATTTGGGAGTTGTGTCGGCTGGCTTAGTTTCACGATAAGCGCCATAACGACCGGGTCGGTTTTAGAGTCGTGATAGGAATATTCCTCTAATTTGTATTATTAGGGTTTTTGTGGCCTTTATAAATAGAAATAGAGGATAGTAAAGGTGATTGGACACTCATTGTAAAACACAATACATTGACATTCTCTGAAAATTCTTGCTTTATGATTAACATACAATACACATTTTTTTAGATCTGTGTCTATCTTTTCTCCCACGATCCAAGGAAGATCTAAATATTCTAAGGATTATCGTCATCCATCTTTGTCAGAGGAAATATCAAAGAATCTCACCATTTTCGGGTGACTCACTTGCATTTATTTACATTAGTTCCATTTATTATCATTTACTGCTATTTAATGATATTCTCTTTTTTCATGGGCCATTGAATATTACTTTATTTTTGCTATTTGTTGCTACTCGAATAATACTAGTGACATCTTGCTATAAAATCAGTTAAACAATCTCTTGAATATTAATATTGGCTAAAATTAATTTTATCCTATTAGAAAATCTAAATGTTTAAACCTAGATTTAAGTTTTGGGTCAAACAATAATAACATATCGTTAGATGGTTTTAGCATGAGGCGTTTATCTAGATGAAGTAGGTGAATGGATAAGGGTAGGGTTGTACATAATTTGATAAATATCGAATATCGAAACAAAAAAATTATGATATTTGATATGATATTTAATCAATTGTTTTTTAAAAACTTGCTATTATTTATATTCGGTACTTTATAAAAAAAATATCAGTATACTAATATCGTATCGAAATATATATATTATATTACACAATATACATATTACTGATTATAGCATAAATATAAACTTTTTAAAATTTTATTTACTTTCTTTTATTCTCTAAGTTTAGAAATGAACTCTAAGCAAATAACAACATATTTTCTTATTTCTTTATGTACTACTTTCTTTCTATGTGTTATATTTACTAATTTTGGACAAAAAAATTTTCAACCAACATTATTATTTTGTTTTTTAATAGTATTCAACCGAACAAACTAAAGTTACCGGATCGAATAATCCGAAATCAAAATAAATAAAGTCGAATCATACCGAATTTAATTAATTTGATATTGGTATAACATTTTAAGAAACCGAATAAAAAAAATATCGAACGAACTATCTAAATATTGTATTGTACCCAGAAGGGAAGATCAAGGTGAAAAGGAAAGAAACGGAGATCCGCATGGAGGAGGAAAATATAAAAGACGAAAAGACATCTGGAGTAATGGAACCTAATGGCAGAATGATTTTTTATGCCTTTTAATGAATTGTGTTTTGTTTTATCAGCTACCTACAGACATTTAACAGAGACTTTATTTATTTTTTTATTTTTTTTACTCTACTGTCCTTCAGACAGATACGACAGAAGAGATGACATTTCATATTTGCACTATTTTTCCATAATTATACTCCCCAGACGACTGCAACTTCAATCCAAGAAGTGATAGTATCATCAAAGCTCAATTACTCCTACTTGACAAGTTTTATTGTGTCTCATACTTGTACTAGACTCTTTTTGTTTCACAAATTTATGGACCTCAATCTTACACTTTTGGGTCCATAAAAATCTGGATCCACAAGTGAGATAAAAAAATTACCCCATACAACTAGGGTCGGTTGTATGAGACACAAAATAAAATTTTCCCTCTACTTTGGTTTGGTTGAGATACTGATTGTACAATGCAGTTTAATCATCCGAATGTGATTACTCACTTGGTTTGGCTTTTCTGCTTTTACTTTTGTTACAGTTGGTATTTCGAAGAAAGGCAAGATCAAGTGATCTTGCACCTGATTTGAGTTACATGATTTTGTATATACATGATAGTAAGCTAGTATCATTTACTTCTATGGAAGAAACAACTTAGAAAAAAGCATTATTGGATAAATAAAGGAAAAGTTGAGAAGTCATCAATCTTTTTCTTATTTCCAAAGAGGAGAAAAAGAGACAACAAAATCAAAGTACCTACTCTAGGAAGATGACACAAAAAGCTTCTGCCTAACCTTACTCTCCTCTTTATCAACACAATCCAATCCACATCCACACTGTGGGCATTCCTCAAAGTTGTCAATCGGAAAATTCGCCGATGTAAGCCCAACTGAGAACGCAAGATTCTCACCTTTACGCCTAACTTCAACAATATTAAGCCATAGCAACACCACTTTAACACTTACACCACTCAGTTTTGTAAGCCTGCCTTTTGATATAACACCCTTTATAACAGGCTTGTAATTTAGCTGATACGAGTTTTCCAATCTGAAGCTGCATGTAGAATTAAGATAAGCTGAAAATTCACCTGTTTTGGTGTTTAATTCATAGTCTTTTACCCCTTTTGGAAGAATGCCCATTGGGAAGTCATAACGCTGTAGGTCTTCATAGGCTGATGGCTTCTCATTTCTTGAAGCTGCTGTAGCTGAAAATAAGAGATAGAGGAAGCAGAGAATGCTTGTTAAAGACATTGGCATTATATTTCTCAGAAAAAAAATGAAGTTTTAGGTTGTTACAGAGTACACCGTCATATAAACGAGATGGTCTGACATATATCAAATGGAGATGCTCGATATTGACACATGTTTGCTTCATATGTATGACAAATTAGTTTGTTACTCTGACCAGTTGTCCACGTGCAGATTGATGCACTTACTCTATATACCAATTTCTTTTTTCCGCTATCCATAATTTGGATATACAATTCATTAGATTGGAACTTTATTTTTTTTTTATAGGTTCTTTAAATTGGAACTTGGAAGATGTGTAGACAATGAACACTTTATTAGTTGATGATTGAATGGTTTTTAAAGTTAAATTATTTTTAGTTATAAAAATATTTTATTCCTTTTTAAATGAAATAATAAAGAAAATTATATTTATATTATATAAATTAAAACAGAAAAAGTAACATAATCTCATGAAAGAGGCTTTACAGGTGGATTTTCTAATTATTTTGAGTTAGCTACCATTCTGTCTTGTCCTGGTAATTACATTTCTCATAATGAAATGATTCCAGTAGAACACAATAAATATAGAACACTAAAAATAAAGCACTCGATCACAAACTTTTAGATTGAGGATAGTTGACCAATTGATAAAAATACAGGGGTATAGCCATTTAACACATGGTTAAACGTATTGAGCCTAGTGTAACGTAATGGTTTAAGAAGCTGGAAGCACAAGGGAAAAAAATCATATAGACAGAGGCAAAGTCAGAATTTAAACTTTATGAGTTTTAAATTGTAGGATAACAAAATCAGGTATTAGTAATTGAATTCTAAATTTAATTTTTATACGTATTCGATGAACTTTTTAATATAAATATAGGATTTGAAATAAAGTTACTCGATTTGGACTAAAGTTACTCATCATGTGGCTCCGCCCTTGCATATACGGCATCTGTGTTTCTGCGATTTTAATTTTTAAGGGTATCATCATCGAGGTTTACATCAATCAACATTTCAGTTACTCCCAATGCTAAAGGGAAACTATCAGGAAATTATTAGAAATATGTACTAATTTCTCCAGCCTAACGAGAAAAGTGAGATTCTATTATGTTTACTGTTGAAGTAGTGAATATCGTCGTGTTTTATGGTCAACAAGGGCGGATCTACTCCTTGAATTTGGGTGCTCGAGCACCCATTAATCTCGGCTCCGAGTATATATAATTGTGTAGAAAATTTGAGAAAACAAATATAAAAAAAACAGAAAGCACCCAGGAGACAAATAGTCTAGTGGATTCTTTGGTTAAGGGAGGGTGCTGGAAGTTTACAAAAATTGAATGGGTAAGGGTTCAAATCCTTCTCCCGACAAGCCTTTTAAAACAAACAAATTATTCCCTTTTTTCTCCTCATGTTATCAAGCTACTTTCCCTTTTTTCATTCTTTCCGATTTTCACCCACTGCTTTTTTACCCAATACTACTTTTTAGAATTCCTTTCTGTTGACTTTGTTTTATCTCTTCTTATTTTATAAAATGTAATTCACTATAAAGAAAGAAGAAGAAAAAAGACCCAAAGTTCGACCCTTCTAAAGACGAGCAATTCCTCCCGAAGGGACAAAACCATCAATCTCTATCCATCACAATTTTACGGCATTCATAATATTAATACTATGAGTTTTCTCGTTAACTTTTTTCATCATCGTGTTACAATAGTTATGCATTTATATAATGTGATTGCTAATAACTTTATGTTAGAAAAAGCTAAGCACCCACGAACTTAAATTCCTAGATCCGCCACTGATGGTCAACCATATCCCCCACTAAAATCACCTTATCAGCAATGCTACTTTTTCACAAAGCGATTAATAAGTCAAGATACATTCTTTCCCAGTATCAACATTTTGCTTCAACATTATCTTCTGCTTCATCCCACAACTCCTTCTATCATTAAAGAAAGCAGCTTCCCAATGATTTGCAGTATAGCCTCTTCTTTTTTTTTTTCTTTTTTTTTTGGAAAAGGTAACAAGTATAGCCTCTTCTTTCTTCCCTCTCATTTCCTGTACTCGATTCAATCACTCAGCAGTGACTCTTTCCAGGTGAAGTGGTCTTATCGCCAGTAACTAAAGAACTACTAATCACCTTTTTCCCCCTTCCTTCTCTGTTCATTACTGCCTGTGTGCTTATTCTCTGTCCAATTCAATATACAAGAGGATCACACGCATGCTGAAGTCTTGCATAGCTAAGCAGAAGGCTTTTGTCAACACACAAGGAACGGCAATAAGGAAATGACTGAAATTTATAGATACAACAAAGAAAATAAGCAAATTAACAAAAGATATATTCAACAAAAAGAACCCACAGGAGAACTTCATGTGTCTGTTGAATAACACTATAGACTAACTAATGCAAGAAAGTACTAGTTTGCGAGAAGAACAAATTATATCTAAGTTGCAAAAGAATATGACAATTAACATTGAAAATAAATGTTCTCTGAAGAATGAATACAGCAATCAATGTGGAACTATTGGAATAAAAAATACACAAATGGTAGGCAATTTTGAAGAGGAAGCTATGATACCAGCAAGTAACCAACACAACTACAGTATGGAGATCTCTCAAGGAACAAAACATACAGAGATATGCTGATTCAGTTAACATCCTTCAGTCTTTTTATCAATGCATCAAGAGATTTCTTCTTAGTGTTCGTCTTAGATCCCCTTGTGCCAAAAGACCCAAAAAGCCTATCAGATTGATCCCTTAACTTCTCCGAAATCGTCACAACTTTGCGGTAGTCCAAAGCATTATAACTTCTCTCTCTAATAACTGGATTCAGGAAATTTTCTGGATGGTTGCTCAAGAGTAGATTAACCAACTGCCTGGACTCAGCCAAGGCTGCTTTCAACTGGCTAGCATCTGCCTCAGATAACAGAGTAGCTTGGGATTCGGCAAATGATTCCAACATTTTGACATCAGCTTCAAGACCCATAATAGCATTCACGTTGAACCTTTTAACCGACTCCCCAAGTAAAGCCCCGNTAAGAGAGTAGCTTGGGATTCGGCAAATGATTCCAACATTTTGACATCAGCTTCAAGACCCATAATAGCATTCACGTTGAACCTTTTAACCGACTCCCCTAGTAAAGCCCCAACAATCATCTCTGATATATGAAATAGAACATCTTGCAAAACTCTTTTCAGAACTTGAACAGGCAAGATCTGCTGGGCAGTAGAAACTAGAGTTTCAAGAAATATAGTCACCTCATGCACATACTCATTTCCACCCTGCGGAGGATCATCCACCATCCAATTCACATTCTCAATCAGCAAAAGGAACCCGTCAACCTTTTGCTTAAGCAGGCCAGAAAGCATCTCTTCAGCAGCATCACGGGCTTTAGTCAAAGGAAACAGTCTCCTCCCCCTCTCTGCCATTCTCAATGGGATCCCTGAAAGCTGTGCAGCATGACGAAAGAAAAAGTCACATGCACGTTCAAACACAGCCATATTAGCTGCCATCTGCATTGCTTGGGTAACACCACCAATAGATGTATTAATGAGCTTCAACAAGGCTCCATCCAGGACCTCAGTCAAAAGCCGATCCAGGTATTTCTTCACCACATCATAGAAATCAAGCTGACCACCATATGACATGAAACTCACCGAGTCCTCAATAAACGACCGTACAATTCTACAGCAATCAGGCACAGTACAAGAAAATGGTGCAACATAAGGAAACGCAGGCATAATATTCGACGTCTGTAACTGAAATGACAACACATTCATGTTATACTCGTATTCCTTTTTCATATACATTTGCTCAAATTTATCTGCAGCAAGGACCTCAGTTATCTGCTTTCGACAATCAGATAACAGGAGTTCATGATACTTATCCCTGTGCTTGCTCAACACATCTAGCAAAGCCTCCACGGGGTATCCATATCTACGCAATGTAACACCAAGCAAACTCACATAGTCTTTAATCAGTAACAAATGATTCGCAGTTTGCATTCTAGAAAATTGATCTTCCAAAACAGAACACATTTTACTCATAGCAGTATCCCATAAATTCTCCACTTCCAATTTCGAAACCAACCCACCACCAGTCCTCAAAACTCTATCTTCCACAATGAAAAATCCAGCAATTTGCGCGAAAAATGTCTGATGAGATTCAAGAAAGGGCGTCATTGAAGATACCTGAAAATCTGAAGTCAATTGAAGCTTGCGATTCTCGAAATAGTACTGCTTGAATCTATCTTCAAGTCCTAGAGTTTGGTTTATGTGATAAGCCCTATACAACGGCGTCAAATCGAACCCTAATATTCCATTACCATCCTTCGCGTCATCACTGATACCGTCAAATCCGTCATCGTCTTCTTCTTCGAGAGCATAAACACAATCCCTAAGACTGAGTCTACTCTGTTCCTCAGCTTGTCTTTGCTTGATTCTGAGCTCTTCTTCTCTCTGCCTCGATGCTGAGGCTTGTCCGATAGCTAATTGCCCTAAGTTCCGGCTAACTACACGGATCTCGACAAGCCAATCGCCGAACTCTTTGTTGATTTTCCGTTCAATATGCGAACGGATCGCAGGGATCTGCTTCTCAAGCATTCGTTTGAGAGTAGAAGACGGTGTTTTGTTCACAAACTCTCTCTCAATCGAGTCCACACACTTCAACGCCATGTAGAAATTGTTCTCTGAGAGGTGACGATTGGCGCGTGAGCAAAGCTCGACTAGCTGTACACACGTGCGGAGGGATTGGATAGCGAGAGTTATGTTTGTGCATTTGTTTCGAGCTTCGACGAAGGAATCGAGCGTCGTTAGCAAAGGCACGGAGACGGACTGGAGTTGAGAGTTGGAGTTGGAGAGTGAAGATTTGAGAGAATCGACGTCGGATAGAAGAGATCGGAGATCGTCGACGGCTGTGATGAAGTCTTCGTAGTGTGCTCTACAAACATCCTCGATTTCGGATTCCTTTGATCGAGTGAAGTGCCGGAGGTGATGAAGGAGGGTTTCGGGCTTGCCGGAAGCAAAAGCCTTTCGAACGAAGGGCCCGACGTCTTCTCCGTTGCAGATGGAGGCGGAGAGGAGTAGCTGGTCAAGTTTGTCGGCTGAGTCGCCGTTATCTAC